GAGAGAGAGAGAGAGAGAGAGAGAGAGAGAGAGAGAGAGAGAGAGAGAGAGAGAGAGAGAGAGAGAGGGGCAGGTTTGAAAAGGCTGAGACTGCTGGGCCATAAAAACCTCCGGAGGCTGGCAGAAATGTTTCCGAACAGATGCTGGAGATGCAAATATAAACCAGGCACATTTTTCCATATGTGGTGGAGGTGCCCGAAAGCCAGGAAGTATTGGAACCGAATAAAGACATGTCTAGAAGAAATTACGAAGCAAAAAAACTGAATCGAGACCGGAATTATTCCTATTAGGTATAATAAGAGAGGATTACATTTGCTCAAAACTGGAAACGAGAGAGCGTTTCTTCAGATGCCACGGTAATAAAAAAAAAGGTGATTGATTGTGCTGAGATGGACAGGCTAACTACGGAATTAAAAGATAGAGAAGAAACAGATTATTATATGATTTGGAATATATGGTATAATTGGCTGGAAAATAAATGCAAAGAACAGAATACTGGAGAGGTATATTAAAAAGGGAAGATATTGTATATATTTGTAAATATGGATGTGTTAAAACTATGTACATATGTAAATAATGATACAGTTCCTAGAATAACGATGTATAAAGTAAGTTCAAATAGCCATGATGTAAATACAAGTGATAGTGATACTGAAACGCTGTTAAGGGTGGAAATGTGGCGTTAAAAGTTGAAATATGCTTGATGCGTATTTGAAATATGCTTCTCGCCTGCTTGATGCAAGGTGGCCCAAAGTTAAATGCAAAGGAATCCTCTACTGGCGTTGGATGAAGACAAAGTGGAGAGAGAAGGGAGAAGGAGAAAGTGACGGAAGAATGGAAAAGAGGGAAAGAGAAAGTGAAGAGAGAGACAGAGAGAGAAGAGAGGAAGAGGAAAGAGATATCCCACAGCCCTTACAATACCCCAGTGTCTGTTATAAAAAAGAAAAAAGTAGGAGATGTTGTCATATAACTCCTTGTGTAGGTGTGGGTCATCCATGGCCCAGTGCATAACAGGGCATGCGCAGCCATGCTGAACCACACAGGAAAAAACAAACTCCTAAAGAACATAACATCCTTATAGTACTCCATGACATCCTAATATCCTGATAGTGAATAACATAACATCCTGATAGTTCACTCTAGATGTGCCTTACCCAATGACGCCCAGGATT